TATTGTAAACCATAATTTAGTTGTTAATAAAGCAAAATTATTAAGTAAACAGTGATTAATTATTGCGAAGAATAAAACTAGGTATCAAACAGTTTTTTTGCTCTACAGCTCAAATGGGTCATTTGCGGACATATGTTTATACAGGGTGTCCCAGCTAAAACGAAACAGAGGAATTTTTGCATATTTAGAATTATTTAAATGAAAAACACTCGGACACGTCAATTTTTGCATGAAAGGGGACAACTTTCAAATTCATCTTTAATGACCTACCTGTCATCCCTTAGCGGGGGCGCGTTCAACCCCTAAAAATTAAATAGGGAAAGTTGGTCGACTGACCTTTTAAATGAAAGCTCTTCAAATTCTCTTTTCAACGGTACCACATTTATTGACATTTATGTCAAAAAATTTGACAATGACGGGTGTGCCACCAAAAACCAGTCGAGTTTGTTTTGAACCGAGATTGTACAAAAAAAATTGCCTCAAAGTCTCAAATGGAATGAGGGGATGAAAGACACCTCATTTGTGAACTTATTACTGCTTCTTTTCAACGTTGTCTCATTTCAGGAATATCTTTGAAATTTTCGTGGAAAATTATGAAAAAATTAAAGACCTCTAATAAACAAAATAACATCGAAGATAACAGAAAAAGTGTATACAAATTTCACGTGTAAGCCGTTTTTTTGCTTTTAAAACGAGAAATGCCTTTAAATTGCCTTATTTCGTTTTGGGTGGGACGCGTCATTGTCAAATTTTTTGACATAAATGTCAATAAATGTGGTATCGGTGAAAAGAGAATTTAAAGAGCTTTCATTTAAGGGGTTAGTCGACCCACTTTCCCTATTCAATTTTTAGGGGTTGAACGCGCCCCCGCTAAGGGATGAAAGGTAGGTCATTAAAGATGAATTTGAAAGTTGTCCCCTTTCATGCAAAAATCGACGTGTCCGAGTGTTTTTCATTTAAATAATTCTAAATATGCAAAAACTCCTCTGTTTCGTTTTAGCTGGGACACCCTGTATAAACAAAAATGCTTGTTTTGATGTCCCCTACTATCCTTTAAAGTTTGTCGGTATCTTTTTGGGACACCCTGTATGTTGTCTAGTTCCTTATTTATAGTTTCTACAGGTAGCTTAAGATTTTTTGTACAGAAATAGATCAGAGTATCATCTGCGAATAAATGAAACTGGCAGTTTTCAATTACAAGTGCTATATCGTTAAACAAAAAAAGAAGTGGACCCAGTGTACTTCCCTGAGGGACCCCATTATCATTCACGATTTCAGCTGATTCACTCTTATTTATTTTTGTGACCTGTTTTCTATGAGTTAAATAATCGTTGAACCATTCCAGTACTCTTCCCTCTATACCGTATTTTCCTAGCTTCGTCATCAACTGTTTCAAATGCACGCTGTAGGTCCAGGAAAACCGCACCAATAATATAGCAGATTCACAACTGTGTCCCTTGCGAAATCCTGATTGGTTTAAAACAAGTATATTATTTTCTGTAATAAATTGCGTTATCTGATCATATACTATACGCTCAATAAGTTTTTCAATGGTTACCAACATATTTATTGGTCTTAAATCACTAGCTTTATTTGAATTCGCAACTTTGGGAATTGGTATAATGGTTGAAACCTTTAATTGTGTAGGGAATTTACCTGTCTCTATTGAGGTGTTAATGAGATTCAAAAGAGGTTTTTCGATACTATTGTAAATATTTTTCAAGAATTCCGATGTAATTTCATCAGGACTACCCTTGTTTGGTAAGCTAAAAACTGCTCTTTGTAGTTCTGGATAATCAATTAGCCTGAAGTTAGTTAACAAGTTCGACGGTGTTTCAACCAGTTTTTTATCTTTAACTATTTTGTTGGTATCTATTTCACTAACAATGTTGTTTATGCTATTAACATAAAATTCGTTAAGTTTATTACACATTTCCCCAGGGTCGGTAGAAATATGGAGGAGATTTTTTTTTTTAAATTTGTGAAAATTTTCAAAATTTTTTCCTGCAGTTGTTTTTTAGAGGTAGCGATGTTATCGATAGTTTATCAATAGTATCGATATTTCTTAGAAATATGGAACAATCGAAAACATCGATAGTGGCCCCATCGATAGTCGATAGTGCATATATCCCAATAAAGTTCATCACTTTTTTGAACCAGGCATTCCGATTTAATTCACTAATGCAAATTCATATGACCAGATCCAAACTGATGACTCCGAAGCAGTCCGGAGTCCGTGTGCACCCAATCCCAGTCCACTCCGATCAAAATCTTTACTCGTTATTTAAATCTTTAACTTGACAGTTGACGTTGACAGCATACAAATATGCAAACTGCAACGTAAAAAAAACTATCGATTGTTTATCGATAGTATCGATATTGGATGTTAACGCTATCGAAACTATCGATAGTGAGTTTTCGATCACTATCGCTACCTCAATTGTTCTTTAATTTTTTATTGGTTTAATTTGAAATTTCGGATTAATAAGCTCTTGTCCCTCCCCTTCTTACTACACAAGTTTCAGAATTTTTCCCCAAACAGCCAGAAAAGTGTTCCAGCCGGTGATAATTCAAACCTGAACCGTTACTGGGTCTTGATTTCCTTCAGAGAAATTTTTTAGTGATTCAAAAACCAGTAATGATCAAAATTTGAACTATTCCCGGCTCTTCATTTAAGTTTTTTGTTGATTCAAGCGCCGTTAATAATCAAAGTTTTGTCCAGAAAAGTATTTTAACCGGTGATAATTCATATCTGAACCATTACTGGATCTTGATTTCCTTTAGAGAAATTTTCTAGTGATTCAAAAGCCAGTAATTATCAAAATTTGAACTATTCCCGGCTCTTGATTTCGTCTGGAAAAGTTTTCTGGTGATTCAAGAGCCGATAATAATCAAGGTTTTGGCCAGAAAAATGTTCCAGCCGGTGATAATTCAAATCTGAACCGTTACTGGTTCTTGATTTCCTTTAGAGAAATTTGATTCAAAAGCCAGTAATTATCAAAATTTGAACGAACTATTCCCGGCTCTTTCAATTTTGACATTTCCAATAGATAGAGCAGATCCAAATTAGTCGAAAACCCCCAACGATAATTTCAAAATAACTCAAAATCCTTTTAAATTTTTTTCTCTATTCTAGGCTCTTGAATCTTTGTTTCCTTAATTTTCCCACGTAACAAGATGAATAATTATTGGAAGTCACTTTGAAGCTCAAAATTATGGGAATCTAGAAGAATTAGAAAACCTAAAATCCTGGTTATAGAAAAACAAAGATTTTTCTATCAATTTGAATTAGTGTTCTCATCAAAAAAAATATCGGAAATTGTCCATATACAGGGCGATTGATGGTCGATGGTACCTTAGACGCTTATGGTAAACGGAATATGTATTGGATTTTTTTGAAAATTTGCATGCTCCTGATCTATCATTCTAAAATAATTTCAACGATGCGACGTTGCCGCTCATACCAAAAAGTAATATATACAAAAACATAACTTTGTGTTATTACTAGTTATTGGGCCACCCTGCATACTGGACAATAATTTAGGAATGTAGTACTCATGTTTATCTACAAGTTTTGTATTTAGTTTTTTTCTTCGATCTCCGTTAGTATAGGAGATATGGACGACCGCGCGCTTAGTAACTCACCCTGTATAAATAAGTTTGATATTTTAAATGGGACACCTTGTATATTATTGCATTTTTTGCTTCGCTATTACTTCCTGATTAATTTTGTATAATACTATCCTATACCTATCTGCTCTTACAGTGGCGCACCCAGGTTTTTTATTTGGGGGGGGGTTTTCATAATGATGAAGAATTTTTTTTCGGGTGTCACGCCCAAAAACGTTTATTTTAAGCCTTCAAAAAATAAGTTTTTGTAAGTGATTGTATAAGTTATGTTTTCTTTATATTTCCCTTTTATTAGTACTTCTTTTAAAGGGGCAATTTCATCTAGGGTATTTTTGATAGTGCTATATAGGGAGCGGTATTTATCATCTATATTACTGTGTGAATAGTTCCAATTGGTCCTGCTTAGTTTTTGATTGAGTTCCACATAATTCTCATCAGCTAACTAGCCACATTCAGCCCTCAAAATGCTAGACAAAAAAAAAATGACTCCACTAAACAGGCACTATCTCAGGGTCTAACTAGAGAAGCTTCAAAATTGAATTTATGGAAGATTGAAAATTTTCTAAACATGACACTGAGACAGTTTTTGCAGTCCGTTGCATGGTACTTGAGCTATGACTACTGAATAGACAAAGGAAACAATGGGCTATTGCTGCGTTGTCATATCAATAATATTTATTATTACATGAAAATGAAGGAAATTTTATTGCAATTTTCATGTATTATTAAATATTATCGATATGACAACGCAGCAATAGCCCATTGTCCCCTCTGTCTATTCAGTAGCGGTAGCTCAAGAACCATGCAACGGACTATACTTAAATGATGAAATTTTACATTTTTTTATATTGAGATTTTGTGTGTAAATCAAATCAAATCCAAATCATAAGGCAACTATCTAGTAGGTACTAAAATAATGATATTTTAAATTTTTTTGTGTTGAGATTTTGTGTCTAAATGATCATTGAGGACCGTCAAACTCCATACACTAAATTTTTCCAAGATTTGAAGCCGGAATCTATGAAAAAAGGCACTCAAAAAATTGAAAAATTGATACATTTATCCCAAATTGCTCAACACAAATTTATTTCTAAAACTAAAGTCGAAATGAGTAGTCCTTCACTGGGATAAGAATCACTTGAAAATTTCAGCTTTCTATCTATAATAGAAAAAAAGTTATGATTCTTCAAAGTTTCAAATCATAAGGAATCACAGCTTCTTTAATTTTCATCCGATTTCAACGCAATTAAGCTTCAATTAAAGCCAATTAAATTGTCTACAAACCTATTAATTAAGATTTTAATTTGATGGGTTTTTATCTATACTAACCCTGAATTTACTTTTAATAACCAAAATTAATATTTGTCCAGAATTTACTCAGAAAGCTTTGAGCAAAGAAGCCCTAAACACCATCCAAATAATATTCGTTTGGTTGCCTATTAAAAATATACCTGGGGAATTAATCGGAACAATATGTAATTTAATGTATTCACAGGCAAGTACTTACCTTAATTCAAAACAATTTTTTTTGATTCAATATTATTGCAGCACGAAGAATTACGTTTAGAAGTCATCAACACAATAAATGTAATATTTTACAGGAAATGTTGCCTTAAAGGAACCGAGACTTGTTTCAATCACATTTACAATCATGTTGTTGAATGGCTTAGGAATCTAGTTAGCAAAATTGATAATTCAAACGAATTGTAATAATTGAAATAATTGACAATAATTATTAATTAGTTGATTATTTTTAGTTTTGTTGAAAAACTCTGTGAACTATTACGATTATTAATCGAACAACATTTTTGGCGTTTCGAATTGGACCCTGCCTTTAGCTCCTTGGATTTTCTATCAAAGTTTTTCACTTACACAATGTATTTGTCAAGTGTCGAATGTTTTCAACATTGTTTAGGCGTTTGGGCAGTTTTTTTCAAGCAAATCAAGCCAAATAATACAGAAAAATATTTGGATTTGTTTTCAAGTCTAGGAAGTTCATTAATAAACAAAATACAGTTTAGTTATAATTATCAACAGCTAATGGGAATTGATATGGTTAATGTGGATCAAGATGTATGTAATTAATTTCATAATACTAATTCCTAATATATAAGAATTATTTTTAGAACAAATCAGAATGGCAATACTTTTTAGGCTTTACAGTGGAAATTATTTCAAAAGTTGCCCAATTTGCCCCTTTACAAACAATAAATCTAATTGTAAGTTTTATTTTATTCGAATTTTTGTACAATATTAATATAAATTTTCTAGTTAGGCTCATGGAATTTATACAACATGGAATACAACAAATGCGAAATTTACAACAACTCCGAGACTGAACATTTAGTTTATATTCTTAGAGATTTTGCCACGTTGACGTTTACTTTGGCCAGTTTGGCGCACCATTTTTATCTTAGTGGTAACTTAAATATTTAATAGTTGATTGAAAATTATATTTATTTATTTATTGCAGAAAATGAAGTATTACATAAAACTGCCACCCCAATAATCTACAGCCTTATCGAGGACACAGTGAAAAGTGCCTCAAACTATCGCAAAATCAAATTGCAAATACTTAGAATTAATAATCATCAATTGACTCTTAGTTTTATAGATGTGTAAGTTTAAGTTTAATACCAATAATAATATTATTAATTATTTATTTTTCTAGTGAAAGTGAACTTTTGTCTTCGCTTAAAACTTGGCTGTGCTGGATGGAGACTAGAAATCAGCAGTGCTATAATGGGGACATATTTTTAAGTCTCGTGTTGCCTTTTTTAAAAGAAGGGGATCAAATGTCTGTCAAAATAACGTCAGCGGCGGCTCAGTTGTTTTTGGAATTGGCCAAACGACCAAATAATTCTTGCTCTTTGCAGAATAATGTAGTTGTAGAATTTGTCCAGCAGGTAATCATTTTCTTTACATGTGATACACAATTTCCATGTCACATGGAAAGTAAATTTTGTAAAACAATTTCTAAGACATTAGGACATACTAGAAATTCAAAGCAATTGAACAAAGACAATGATAATCAAGAGCCATTAATAATCAATAATTTTTTTTTGTTGAAAACTACTATTTTTCCAGGTCCCCGAAATAAAATACTATACATCGGACATAACGAATACAGTCAACAGTGCCATTTGCGAAATTCTTCTCAAAAATCTCAAATCTGTAAACGAGGAAACTTTGCAGCGCCATAAGTTGTTGATAAAACTGTTTTTCGACGAGTTAACAAGAGATTTCCGAAATTTAAATCATTCTAGTCCAGAAGACACAGTCAGAGCTGTTGTTACCAATACTTTGCCTGCTTTATCCCTCATAATCAAGTATTGTAGAAGTTTTAATGTGGGAGCTAAAAAGGAACTAATTAATGCCATAAAGGTATTATGTAATCAATATGTATTTATTATAAAATTATTAATTTTTAGCCTACCTTAGATCAAGCCTTAGTATTATTTCCAATTTATGTAAAATACATTGACGTCTATGTAATATTTTCCAAATTCTTTATGTCTGTACTTAAAAACGTACAATCTCAAATAGGATTGAATTATACCAAACAAGCTATGCAGGTGTTTTTTCAAGTTGCTGTCAGGTAATTATTAATTAATTATAAATAAATACATTATAAATTAATTATTATTATTTATAGCGAACAACAATCTCAAAGCCTTTTAGGTATTCAACAATTACTAAACATCTTTTGTGCCGTAATCAAAGAGTTAACAGACAAAACCCTTTTGCCTGACATATTAAAAGTTTGCATAGAAGTTATTTATCCCTTTATTTCACCACAAGCCAATGAAAATCCAGACATTTATTCGAGATTTTTAAAGCTACTTTACAGGTAATTCAATTAATAGCTAACTAATCTTAAATTAACGATTATTGTTGTATAGGATTCTTAATTTCCATTGGCGTCACTTTTATAATTCTCAAGTTTTAATGGGCCATTCGGCCGGTTGTACGGATAATGAAATAGTTCCGGATTCGCCTAAAAGGCCCGAGCTATTTTTGGCTGTGCTAAAAGTATTTGGTGAAGCCTTATTGATGGACGATATCCATATTTTCCAACAAAGCCTGAAGGTTTTGCAAGAGTTAAACAGCACCAAAAAGCTCTATTATAAGGCCTTATTTCGATCTCATCTCTTGTCTGATTTATTGCACGTATTGCTAAATACATTATTGCAAAAGAGACATGAAATATCAAATGATGATATCATATTTGCCATTTATAGCATGGCAGAAGTTGATTTTAAGGTTTTCTTCTTTACATTCCTTCCTCAGTACATTCAGAATTTGGACGACATTAATGCTTGTAATTATCAAGCCTTGATGGCACATTTCGATGTTAATAACGATCAGGTAAGGATTTTACTTGTGAGAGGTTTGTTCTTATAGAAATCACAAACCAGTTTTCTGACTATTATGACTGGTTAGTAATTTCTATAAGCACAAACCTTATTTTCATAAAAAAAAATTATGTTTGTAGGATTTACCAAGTTTTATGCGAGATTTGCAAAATTTCGCCGTAGATTTTCATCACCTCCGAAAGTGCAATACTTGACTTATTTTTTAAGTGATTTTTGTATAATTATTATAAGTAATTGTTTGTATGTGATGGCTCAAATTTCGTGTACCGTTTTTTATATTTAAACAAAATAATATATGTAATTGTAAAAAAATTAATTGTTAAAAAGTTTTTATTGTGACGTCATTAGGGCAAATCAAGTAAGTGATCTGGATATATAATAACTCTATTCCAAGGAGGTAGCTATTGTGGAAATGTTGTATTCTAGAAGATAGAGATTTCTTGGAAATATTAATGTAACTATATTCTGTTCACAATATGATGTCCACAGGTGCAGGTACATTTTCACTTTTCCCTATCAAATAGCATTGAAAGGTGATAAACTTTACTGGTACCAGTGGACATCGGATTGTGTACGGATAATATATGCAGGTCTAGAGGAGATACACGAAGTTCCATAGAATCCATAGAGATCCAAGGATATCCATAGAAATCCATAGAATTCCAAGAAGATCTCCTAAAAAATTGCCCTTGTCCCTCATTCATATTCCTAAAACAGGGAACCAATGGTCTTGTGAAAACGATTGCATTGTCTTTGTCAGCGTTATAAAAATAATAATATGAGGAATAAAGACAGAACATGCGTTCTCATGAAAATGCTAATTCACTGTTTCAAAAATTCTTATTTTTGTATGGTATGGTAGTGTATGAAGTTTGGGTTGGGTCCCGAATTTTTTATTAAGGATAGAAAACTAAAATTTTTAACGATTCTTGTCCCAGTAAAGGACTATAATCTCTGAAAATTTCAGCTCATTTGGACACTTAGCCTGGAATTACAGAAGCTCTGCAACACCAAGATACAAATGCAGGACCTGCAAGTCTGATTTTTCGTATTACAGAAGCAGAACCAGAATGCCATTTGCAGGTCGCCTGCAAATTTGCGCATGGTGAATCGGTCCCGCAGGTCCTTGCAATCACTCTGGCAATTTTGACATTTAAAACTAGTACATCAGTAGCGCCCAAACACTTTTTTCCGATAAATATAACGAAATGGCAGATTTTTTCTGTAATTTGCTCGTTTCTGCAAATAGAGCACATATGCAAGTCGGCCATATTTGCAGAACTGCAAATTTGCAGATACAAATATACTGTAATTTGGCCCTTAGTTCCAGAAATAAAATCCTGTTAAACAATTTAGGGTGATTTATCAATTTTTCAATTATCTTGCTTTTTTCATAGATTTCGTCTTCAAATCTTAGAATAATTTGTTGTATGCAGTTTGGGGGATCCCAAAGAACCATTAGGACACAAAATCTCCACCAAAAAAAAAAACATACTTTGGAAAACTTTGAAAAGTCATAACTTTTTTTCTATTATAGATAGAAAGCTGAAACTTTCACTGAATTTTATGCAAATCAAAGGACTACAATCCCTGAAAATTTCAACTCATTTGGACCTATAGTTCCTGAGATAAAATCGTGTTAAGCGATTTGGGGTGATTTATCAATTTTTCAATTTTTCTGAGTGCCTTTTTTCATAGATTTCGGCTTCAAATTTGAGCATAATTTAGTGTATGGAGTTTGGGGGATTTCAAATGACCATTAGGACACAAAAATCTCAACAAAAAAAAATTTGAAATTTCAGCATTTCAGTAAGAAGGTACCTTATGATTTAGATTTTGGAAAACTCTGAAAGGTCATAACTTTTTTTCTATTATAGATAGAAAGCTGAAATTTTCAGCGATTCTTATCCCAGTAGAGGACTACAATTCCTGGAAATTTCAGTTCATTTGGACTTATAGTTCCTGAGATAAAATCTTGTTAAGTAATTTGGGGAGATTTATCAATTTTTCTGAGTGCCTTTTTTCAGGAGGGCAGTGTTGCCATGCGTTTTCGTTATAGTAAAATCCATGCCTAAAATTGCAGAAAGTCGGACAAAGAGATTATCGCATTTATTCTGGATTAAACAAGAATGGATTACGGGTATACAGGGTGTCCCAGAGAAAACAGTCCAGCAAGGTTTACAGCTTTAGACAAAAATATAAAAAAAACCCTCGGACCTGTAAAACTTTTTTTCCAAAGGGACACATTTTATTGGTATTCTCACCACTCACTTGCCAACCCTACCTCCAAAATTTCAAATGAAGAGGAGGTCGAGTGATACGTCATTAATAATAATTGTATGTGCATCTCTTCAAGAGTGTCAAAGTCACGAATTTTGCTCATATTGAAAAACCATACAAATTCAAATAGGTATAGCGCCTCCTATAAAGGGAACAACAGCGCCCTCGGTATGGAACCGAGGTCGACAAAAAAGGTACGAAAAACACTAGATTCGTACAGCCAAGCGACTGCGAAACACTCTCTCTCTTTTCGCCAAACACGAAACACGAACACACAATTTTTAATCCGTCTTCGCACACAAGAAAGTCGATGAATATCGCGAGCTCGCCCGTTACCGGTTTCGAAATAAAAGCCTGTAGTGTTGTGCAACCGAAACAAAACCCGGGATCCCGGTATTAACAATTAACTTTGAACTAGAAGAACCCCAGAACCACAGGTAAGGCGCCTTTTATCATATTGTCTTTTGTATGGTTATTTTTTTGCTACATATTCATTAGTTGCGCTTACAGTCCACGTAACTCCGAAGGTGATTCTAAAATATCAACCATTACGCCAACAATAATAATAATATAATAATATACAGGGTGTTTCTAAAGATCATATACAAACGGAAGGAGGTGATTCTTTGGTATATTTTATGACTAAAATTTCTAATAAACATAGGTCCGTAAACGCTTCGTTACCGATCTACAGGGTGTTCAAATTTTAATGTACTCATATTGAAAATGAGCTAGAATATGGCGGCAAGCAGATTCCCATTGAAAATGAGCAATAATATGGCTGCAGGACCTCTATGGTCGCCACGGTAGGTAGAAAAGGTTTATTGAGTCACTTTAGTCTCATCTAGCTAATGACAGAGATTTGTTTTTCAATTTTTTTCTCGATAAGGGTCGGTGATACTACAAGGGAACAAAAAGTTTCTAAATAAGGTAGAAAAACTATTTTGTTACTTAGAATCGATCAGCGGCGCACCGCGAAAAAGTTCAGGGGCAGAAAAGGGGGAATGACCCCTGAAAAAACATCACCCTGTAGATTCTGGCAAACGCTTGATATGTGCAATCATTAAGCTCCTATTGCGTAACCTTTATTCCAAATTTTAGCTTAATTTCTCAAAAAATGCAGGAGCTATAATGAAAAAACTGAAAAAATATTAACATTTCAACACCCTGGTAGATCCGTAACGAAGCGTTTTCGGACCTATGTTCATTGGAAACTTTAGTCATAAAATAAACCAAAGAATCACCCCCTTTTGTTTGTAAATGATATTTAGGAACACCCTGTATATTACGAATCTTTTTTACAGATCCTTTACAGTAAATTATGTTCAATTTTTTTTACATATTTTATGCTTAGAAAGTTTGAACTGCATCTAGATGACTTAACATCTGTATATGCAGGTTACATAGCTTATAGATGTCATAGCTGAGGTAATATTCAAAATAAAGCTGTGACAAAACTATGTGGCAACGGTAATTTGCTACAGTTTTTAACTTACTACTAACTTACTTTAATGCAATAGGTTTACAATTTTACAATGTAGGTACTTTAATCTAGAGAAATATCAGGAATTTTTTTAGATTTGCTATTATAAATTTTAAACAATCTTTTTTAAACTTAAATTTATTGCTCAATAGTTTAATACTCTTTGGAACCATATTGAAGAATTTAGGAGCCAAGTAGCTCACGGATCTCTTTATAAAACTGGTACTGCAGCCAGAAATAACAAGATGTCTATTTGTCCTGTTTCTCGTATTATGTGGGTGATTTACAATGGAAACAATGTCAGGGTTTTCATAGACAAACAGGCACTCCGCAAGTATATAAAGGGATCGAACATTGGGTTTTTCCTCGGAGTATAAAAGAGATGTGGAATACAGTTTAGATTTGTTTTTCATAACTTTAAGGATATAGTTTTGAACAATGTTCAATTGTCTAAGTGAATTATCATACAAGCCACTCAAAACAAGCAATCCATATCTAAGCAATGACTCAACTGTCGCTTTATAGACAGTTATCAATAATTTCATAGCTATTTTTATTAAGAATATATCCCCGAAGTTTTTAAGTTGCTAGTTATTTACCCTGCCGAAAACTATACAATAAACGAAAATAAACATTTTTGACACGTCGCCATTTCGACAGGGTGAATAGTACAAACTTAAAACTTCAGAAGGTCCCTATTCTTGAAACAGGGGAGCAGCGTTCCCAAGAGAACGAGTGTTTCGTCTTCCTCAATGATATGCAACTGATAACATGGGTAACAAAGATGGAAGACTCGTTCTCTTAGGAACGCTGCTCTTCTGTTTCAAGAATAGGCACCCAGGGATATAATCCTAATGACAATAGCTAATAAATGACGTACCACTCGATCCCTTCTCTTCATTTGAAATTTTGGGGTAACTATCACCCCAACTTAGGGGTCGGAACACCAATAAAATGTGTCTCCCTGCAAACAAAATTTTACGGCTCCGAGGATTTTTTTAAATTTTTTGGCTTGTTGGACTGATTTCCCTGGGACACCCTGTATAAAGGCTGGTATTAGTTAGTAGTTTTTAAGTTTAAGATTGACTGTGATACGATTTAGATTTAGTAAAGTAATCAAAGCAAAACAAACCCAAGATTTCTGTCACACACTCCAGAGCCATGACAGTATCAATCCCAAGCAGAGGGTTTACGTATCAGTATCAGTATCAGGCAACGTGAATCCCAGGAAAAGAGTTCACGCCAGTTTCAGACTATCATGAATAGCCGCAGATCAGTATCTCAGAAAACCAGTTATCAGTACCGTGGATCAGGGTGGCTATATAAGGGGAGGAACAAGACCACATCAGGGGAAACAGGGCCCCATTTCAGTTATGGTTACCATAGGGGAAACAGGACACCATCTCAGTCATAAATAAAGTGTATTTTGTGACAAAGCCAACAACAATCACAAAATATTGAGTACAATAGGGATCCATGAACATTATGGATAGTATTTACTTGAAATAGGTTGAAAAAAGCAAGACAGCCAATTATACTTGAGGCCTGTGAAGAAACTAAGTTTCTTGCTCTCACAACACAGACATCATTTTCCCATTGAACATGAGCTGAATTAAAATCTCTAGTTATCACTATTCTATCACATGGATTGTTCAATAAAACTTCATCAAGAGAAGCACAAAAAACTTCGTAAGCCTCTACTGGAAATTAAGGAGGTATATAAACATTTTCTATCAGTGAGATCGTAACAAAAACACATATTGTATTGATGTAACAGGTTAGTATCCTCTTGACCACCCCTACGCTTATGAGCACTAGTATCAGTTCAACAATCACTTTTAAACACAGTATAATCATCAAAACCCGATTTTGGTAACCATTTAAAAGGAAAAAATGCATCATGAGACATTTGAATTTTTATCTCAAAACCTGGTAATGATAAAAATTTGAAACTTTTTAAGTCTATCTCAAACCATCAAAAGGGTATCTTCGAAAATATTAAACTAGATTTTATGGGAAATCAACTACGTAGTCACTTTGCTTGGATTAAATCAAATATTTATTAAACCTTAACACAAACAAAAAGCATAATTATTACGAGATGAGTCCGTGTACAGACTCCAAATGTCTAGTGTAGCTCCTGCGATGCTTAGTCTCAAAGATGCAGTGCGAACACTCCAAAAACTCCATATTTTGCTTGGTGCGATGCACCAGCTGGTGACGCGGCAAATTGACTTTGCGGGGAGTGCTGTACGAGCACTCGTTGCAATAATACAATGGGCGATCCTTTTCCTTTTTAACCCAAGAAGATGCTTTTGGTGGCGGCATGCTTCTGCATTTCGTATTATGTATTTGTAGTATTAATATTTGAAATTTAAAAACATTACCTGTTATGCTTGAGGCCCTTGTGATTGGACAAGCTCCGTTTGTTTTTAGACATGTAGGGACATTTGTCGCACTTGTAAATGACTTCTTCTTTGGGTTCTTCTTTTTCTATTATTTTTTTGCCCCTTTTTGTTCCGTCTTCGTGCATTGTCTTGTGCCTTTCCAGCAATTCTTGATCCTTGGTGATGTATAGGCATTGGTCGCACTTGTAGGTTGTTACCAGACAAGTTTTAACAGTTTCAACATTGTGCCCTATTGAAACTACTTTTTAAAAAAAAATCTTATATTAATATTAATTAACTTACCAATGACATGATCTGGCATTGCAGATTCTTCACTATCTTGATAAAAACACTGGTAACACTCGAAAAGCTCCTCTTCAGTGCTACCATTATAAACCATACAATAAAACTGACTGGCAATATCCTGATCATTATGCTTTAAAGTATGATACATACAAGTCACCTTCCTTTTAAACATATTGTCGCAAAAAATGCACTTGTAGGTAACATTTGCGACCGGATGTTTGCTTTTGTGGGCTCTCATCATTTCTGCGCTAGGAGTTTCGAAGTTGCACAAGTCGCAATGGAAGTTCGGAGCGTCCGGGCCTCTGAGGGTGTGGATCAGCTGGTGCGCCACCAAACTGTTTTGGGAGTAGGTTTTGAACGAGCACAGGTCGCAGTAAAACCAGACTGTGCTACTATTGTTGACCACCGGTACTCTACGAAAATTGAAAGATTTTGTGAATCCAAGACAAATTTTAGTGGAAAATCAATTTTACAATGCAATTTAGATTTCATGGAAAAAGAACATCAAAAGAAGCGAAATTAACTATTTTCTCAATTGGGAAAAATTTGATATTTCTTCGTATGTGAATTATTTACATGAATGAAAATTTGAGGATTCGAAGTAACTTATAACTACTGTCAATTTTCCAATACTCACTTAGGTCTTCCACGTTTGGGGCTTAATATCTTAATATCGGCTCCTTGTTTAGATTCCACCACAGAAGTGTCATCTTTGTTTGACGTTCCAACAAGCTCATGCCAAGTTTTATCAGATTCTGTTTTTTTAATATTTTTAGTTCTTTTTATAATCGTCACTTCAATAGGCTTAGAAACTTCTTTTTCCTCTTTTGCTATTTTTTTAATTTTTGAAGCTTCAGTAGTTACTTTCCGCTTTCTGGTAGATCTGTTGGTAACAACATAATTTTCTTGCTCTGCCTGGCCTTCTAAAATATCTACAAGTTCTTGAGCTGAATTATTGTCCCTGATCAATGTAGATTCTAAATTGTCTGATGGAGTATCAGTATCATCAATTTCATATTCAACCAAGTCAAGATTTTGAATTTCATTATTCGGATCATATTCCATGTGTTCGCCAAAAGTAAAATCAGTAATTCTAGCCGGACTGGCGTCAATTTTTGTAAATTTTTGTCCCATTTGTTGTGTTTCCTGATACAATTCTTTGCTGGTTGAAGGCATGTTGTTGGATTTCAATTTTTTCTTTTGATAAGTGTTTGGTTTTTTGGTGATTGTAACATGTAGTGATTCTTCAACATGATTTACATTCATGGATGATAAAGAAAATAAATCTTCAGATGTCAGAAGGCCTGTTTTGCTGGCACGAGCCACAATCACTGATTCGTTTTTTGAGGCCCTTAACAAAAAATCGTTTAGGTTTTCAAGGGTGCCAACGCAGCCCTGGCAAACATTTTTTGGGGCTTCAATGTTTAGAAGCTAAAAAATAATAGTATTAATAATAATATATGTTTAAAAACTAGTAATTTTACCATAAGAAGATTGCATTGTAAAAGTAACCCTTCGCAATCCTTCCAAGATGTTGTGAGAGAGTCGAATTTTTGTAGACACAGTCTGCAAGTGGTTTCTGCATTGTTTAGCGGGTTTTTTTGCAATTCTTCTTCGATGCTGACAATGGATTTTTGAAAAGTGGCCAGTTCTCTTATGGTTATTTCGCACAGATCGCATATTGACGGTTCTTCAGTCAAATGCAGGTTCTAGAGAACAATAAAAGAATGTATTATGATGGTATTCTTGATGGTAATTTTTCAATAAGCTAGATCTAAGCTTCTTTTAAAAAATAAAATATGTGAAGGTGTATTTTCTTGAATTTAGAGATTTTCTATAATTTCTTCTGCCTTTATTTTCCCTTGTAAAAATTTGAAACTTTGGTAAAATGAATTCTGTCTGGATATTCTTCTTTTTACCCTGAAAATTTCAGAATTTTTTCCAAAGAAAAAGCAATTGTATCTTCTAGTGTATACCAGGCCTAAATAATATAGTGTCACAGGTATTATCATAAAAGTTTAGTTATTTTTCAAAATAATTTCATAATACTCGCCCTTAGTTAATAGAACATCCTATAAGGGCCGCTATATTGATTGTTTGGTAAGTGTTTGTTAATAACCAGTAACCTTAAGGTACGGTTTGTTAGGATAGTACGCGACGCACAACTGACAACGTAAACGTCATCATTGGTTCAGGTATGACGTACACCCGTTACCTGACGCTGACGCTGACGCCAGGAAACGGGTGTATGTCATACCTGAACCAATGGCGACATTTACGTTGTCAGTTGTGCGTCGCGTACTATCCTAACAAACCGTACCTTTAGACTGTGCTACACAATAATAATGTCATAATTACCATTGAGACATCTAAGGTATTTGTTAACAAGGGCCAAATTATGGACGGACTGGTAATGTTATTGGCAAATTTATCCTGCTGCTTTGCTTAATAAAAAGCATTATTATTATTACATTATTAAGAAATTCAGAGAAATTCTAGAAAAAATACAGAAATTAAAGAAATTTCAAGGATTCTTATGGATTAAGGATTTCAAAAAATATACAGGGTTGTCGTTATGTATGGAAACAGTCTGATATTTCAGAACCGGCTTAAAAAAAATTTATAATATTTCCTAAATACCTGTGGGTTTTTGGGAATGCCCGATTTAATCGTGGTATTTGCAATGTTGCCAAGTTTACCATTTCTTGGATGCCGTATGTAACTTGATTTTTTTAAATAGATGCTCCTCTTTATTTTTATGGTAATTAATTCAGCGTCCCAACATTACTAAAACCCCTAAATGCCTAAACTTCATTTTACTTGGTTTATGAAATATGGCAACACAGATTTTTTGTTAAAATGTATGGAAACAGTCTCGTATTTCAGAAAAGACTTTAGCAAAATAAACAATATTCCCTACCTGGCGGTTTTTGGGAATACCCGATTCAATGGTGATATTTGCAATGTTGCCAAGTTTACCGTTTCTTAGATGCCGTATGTAACTTGTTTTTTTTTTAAATGGATGCCCCTATGGGCAGTTACATACGGCATCTTAGAAACGGTAAACTTGGCAACATTGCAAATACCACCATTGAATCGGGCATTCCTGAAAATCCCCAGATAGGGAATATTGTATATTTTGCTAAAGTATTTTCTGAAATACGAGACTGTTTCCAAACATTTCAACAAAAAATCTGTATTACCATATTTCATAAACCAAGTAAAATGGAGTTTTGGCATTTAGAGATGTTGGGACGTTGAATTAATTACAATAAAAATAAAAAGGGGCATCAATTTAAAAAAATCAAGTTACATACGACATCTTAGAAACGGTAAACTTGGCAGCATTGCAAATACCACTATTGAATCGAGCATTCTCAAAAACCCCCAGGTAGGAAATATTGTAATTTTTTTTAAAGCCGGTTCTGAAATATCAGTCCGTTTCCATATATAACGACAACCCTGTACTATATATTATATAGTAGTAATCTGGGGTATTAGTGAACAAACACTAGTGTGAAAAGTGTCACTTTTACGCACGCCTATGGGTAACACTATGTTTTCTACAAGATAAAAGTGAATATTTGCCCCAAATAACTTGAAGTACACGAGGATTTTGGAAACCATTGAAGATACAGGGTGGAGCAAATGGGGAAAAAGTTGTGCGATCAAGTGCCTATAAATAATCTGTCATCAACTCCTTTGAACTCAGGATATACAGGGCAAAAAAGAATCCCCATGTATTTCAAGTTATTCTGAACAACCTGTACAGGGTGTCCTAATTTGGATGGTTTTAATAGGAAATATCAATTTCTGAGCAAGATACAAAAAAATGAACCCCCCACTCCGAGGCTCAAATTTCATGAAATTTTGATTGGTGCAAACCCCATTTTGATATCTTCAACCGTTTAGCCGCTAGAGGGCGATTCTCGATTTTGAGCAATAATGTGAAACACAGTGAAACCATCATAACTTCTTTGTTTATGAAAATTATTGATTTCCGTAAAAACTTTCTAAAAGCACTTTTTCAAGCAGAATTCAGTGACGTTCTCAGTTTTTTTCTAGTTGGTCCCAACTCCGAGATATTGACCAAAGTCTGGTTTTTTTCAATAGGACACTCTATATATTAATAGCTCATTAGAAAGCTCGGCTTTTTCTGATTTCAATGATATAAAGTTCGATAGGTTTATCTCTAATAGTTTTCGAGAAAAAAAATTATTTCGGTTTTTTTCATAAGAAGTAATGTGTAAGAAAAGGACTTTATATCTGTAAGGAAACTGAGGAAGGTCTCTTTCTAACTCATTGTTTCTTATGACAAAAGCCGAAATATTTTTTTTTCTCAAAAACTGTTAGTGATAAACCAATCAAAATTTGTATCATTGAAATCAGCAAAAGCATAGCTTTCTAATGAGCTATTAATATATAGGGTGTCCCATTGGAAAAAATCGGATTTTGGTCAATATCTTGAAATCGAGGCCCAATAGAAAAAAACTGAAAACGTCACTGAATTCTGCTTGAAAAAGTGCTTCTAGGAAGTTTTTACGGAAATCAGTTATTTTTATAAACAAAAAAGTTATGAAGGTTTCACAGTATTGTTCAAAATCGAGAGTCGCCCTCTAGCTGCTAAACGGTTGAAAATATCAAAATGCGGTTTGCACCAATCAAAATTTCAAGAAATTTGAGCCTCGGAGTGGGGGGTTAATTTTTTTGTATCTCGCTCAGAAATTGACGTTTCCTATTAAAATCTTCCAAATTCGGACACCCTGTACCTATAGAGTGCTACAGGATATAGGAAAATATTTACAGATAAAATTTACATTACACACTAATCAATAACATAACGTTATAAGTAATTATATATTTAACAATAGGCATAGGAATAATTTATTACTAGAATTTTCATAAAATATTCCACTGTGTGAAGTTCAGCATGCATTTTCCAATCAAATAGGTATTTGTATTAAAAAATAAGAGCCGATTTTGTTTTAACTGACGTTTGCTAATAGGTATCTTGTTATACAAAATTGCCACTAACTAGTGTGGAAAGTGCCACTTTTCCGCACATGATGTTAGATACACTATTTTTTCTAGTGTCAGGGCGAGCTCTCATGAGATGAGCGTAAGCTGACAATTCTGGCGTAATCACGTGAGAATATGGTGTAATTTAATTGGTAAAATCTCCAACATGGCGAATATTTTACCAATAAAATCCAACCATTTCATCACGCGATAACGCCAGAAATGTCAACTTACGCTCATGAGAACTCGCCCTAAAAGTTAATAAATATTTGTACCTATACAGGGTGTTTGGATAACTTGAGGTAGATACATGAGGATTCTGGAAACCATTGAAGATACAGGGTGGACCAAATGAGGAAAAAGTTGCGCAATCAAGTGCCTACAAATAATCTGCGGACTTATTCTCGAAATCGAGGCACAGGTTCTGTCTTTGTCAGTGTTATGGAAATATGAATATGACCCACAAAGACGTTCTCATGAGAACACTACTCCCTTGTGTCAAGAATAAGGACCCTGTTATCAACTACTTATTCAGAATTGCAATGGATATACAGGGCAGAAACGAAAAAAGCGCGTTTTATAAAATACTTTCTAAGTATCTTGTATATTTTATTATAAAAGATACAATCAAGAAGTTCAAAAAAGTTGATGGCAGATTATTTGTAGGCACATTTGGTCCACCCTGTATCTTCAATGGTTTCCATGTCCAGGGTCCTTTTTTATAATTTCCCACTCCCTTTGATTTTTTTGTGTCACTATGTATAAAAAAAAAGGTAATTAAAAAAGGTGTATAACTTGAATAAAAGTTTCCAGAAAACATTGTTGTGTTTTTACGGGGTGTTGCGGAAAGTTTAAAAAACAAAATTTTTTTTTTTTTAAATGGGACATCCTGTATATTATTGAATTTTCGGATTCTACCTAAAATTCTGAGCAGATTTCATGTGATTTAGGATTTTTACGCTATATTTAAGGTGACGTCACATTTAGTAAATTTCTGCTGCCAACCTAACAAAACTAAAAGTACTTTTCAATACATTTAAAGTATAGGGGAATTTCAGATGTTTTTGGCTGGCAATGGCGCGCGACGTTGCATGACTTGTATCATAAACTGACACATGACATTCTGGTGAATTATAAAAAAAAAGAAAATAGTCATTGACAACATTGTTTATCCTTGTTCAATGACGTCATCCTAAATATAACATTAAAAACAAAAAACATATATACACTATATTGAAATGAATGAAAAATCGGTTTTGCAGTAAAATTAACCGTTTCTACCGTTTAGGTTTTACAGCCTGTCAAAGTTGCAAAAAAGTCAAATTTCAATTGTCAATATTTCTAAAACAGTTGAACGAACTTAGGTATAGTGTGGTATAATTTATAATTTAACAACAGGATATAAATGAGAAATAAATTCCCTAAAACTTTCCTAATTTGAGCCACCCTGTATCTCTCATAATAAGCGAAATCCTCATGTAGAGACTCGAATTTCGGACACACTGTATAAAAAAATAAAAATAAAAATAAAAAAAAACCGTTTATTATGCAACATAACAAAAAGTTTACATTACATAAAAGGAAACATTCACATAGTGTTCTTCCATGCTACCTTGCTTTTGAAAACAATAATTTTCACAGTTTATGTGTTTATTTGTTGTGCCTGCTGTAGAAGGCAAGACTTATATTT